CAGGTCGGGCTTATGGACCGTCATGGTGGGCGGTAGGCGGCATAAAGCGTACCCAGGGGCCTGAACCCTAAACCCTAAACCCCTGATGGATGAAACAGCCTCGGGGGTATACTTGGAGGTCAAGGGTACTTGCAAGTGGGGTTATAAGTACGTTAAATTAGGTTATCACCAATTACAGCTACAACTACCCTACTTGTAGCTCTACTAAGCGCAGATGAACCTCCGAACTAGGGTAGGAGGTCTAGCAGACTGGGTTCCAGTCTATGCAAGGGCAAAATCGTATGAGGCCTTTTTGCCAGGGCTCCTGCAAAATGCGAAACCCTGAACCCTAAAACCCTAAACCCTAAACCCCTAGCCCCAAACCCCCAACCCTCAAAAAACCGCAGGAGGAGGCGTGTGGAGGCCATCCGCTTCCCAAAAAAGTGGCCCGGCGAAGAAAAAACCCGACCTCCCCGTCGAAACGGAGTAGGTTTGGCAGCCCCGTGGTACCCTTTTCCGTTTTTTTTGGTTCAAGGTTCCCTTATGAAGTAACTAACCCCCCAAAAAGGGGACGATTATTATGGTATTTCAACGTTAAAATACCCAAAATCGGGACCATTATTATGGTATGGTACAAGGCTAGCGAGTTGAGTTTGGCAGGAATTCGAGTCTAAGAAGCTGAACTCGAGCCCTCTGCATCCCCAGATTCCGACAGAAGTGCACCTGACAGGGTGATTCCTAAACCCCTAAACCCTAAACCCTAACCCCTACACCCTAAACCCTAAACCCTGCCAACCCAAACCCCAAACCCCAAACCCATCGTTGCAGCCTCCGAAGATCCAACCCACGAACCCTGAACTCATAAACTTAAGGTTGAGGGTTTAGGGTTTAGGGTTGAGGGTTGAGGGTTTCATAGGCCCTATCAGAAAGCCGGACAGACCCTGAGGCGCCCCGCAAGCCCTAAGCCCTAAGCCCTAAGCCCTAAGCCCTAAGCCCTAAGCCCTAACCCCTTACGGTTTAGCTGTAAATCCCTCTGGGTTCAGGGTTAGGGACCCTAAACCCTAAACCCCTTACCCCAAGCCCTAAACCCTAAACCCTAAACCCTAACACCCCAAAAAACCCCAAAATAGCCAGAGCCTAGTAGAAATCGACGCTGAGCACGGGCAGCTTGCACCCGCTCCTTTCCAGACCAGGCCGTTCCGCAATACGTCCGCAACCATAAGCCATCTCAGACAGACCATTTTGTTTCGCACCCTATATTACAACCATGGGAAGCCTTGTGTTGCAATTCGAAACCTATGTTAAAGAAGGTTCAGCAGCCCTATGCTTCTAATGACAACCAAAGAAAAGCTTTGAGCCTTTGCCAACCTTCGACATATATAGACATATCATACATATATATTATACATACCACAGTTTTAGTTCGACTGAAACTCGAAACTCGAAACCCTAAACCCTAAACCCTAAACCCTTTAAGCCCTATGCAAGCCCAGGGCCTGCCCAGGTCGCAGCTCATCGAGCCCGGCACCGCAAGAGGGCCAGAGCTCCTTGGCAGCCCAGAGGGCAAATGTCCTTTTTGTTTGGGGTTAGGGTTAGGGTTAGGGTTTTAGGGTTTAGGGTTTAGGGTTTAGGGTTTTTAGGTTTAGGGTGTAGGGTGTAGGGTTTGGGGTTTGGGGTTTGGGGTTTAGGGTTTAGGGTTTGGGTTTAGGGTTTAGGTTTAGGCTTGGGATGTTCGCCCTTATACTCACAGTCCTCAGTAGGGATTTAATAGGGGTACTATAGTCCCTATTCAGGACTCTTGCCCAAGTTTAGGGTTTGTGGCTTGGGGTTTTGGGATTTTGGATTTGGGGTATAGGTTTTGCAGTTTCGGGCTTAGAGACGAAAAGGGTAACCGTAACCACGCAAAACAAGGCATCCTTATCTAAACCCTAACCCTAAACCCAAACCCTAAACCCCAAACCCTAAACCCCAAACCCTAAACCCTAAACCCTACACCCTGCCAGGCTACCAAGGTCCAGAAGGCGCCTTCCGCAGGCCTGGAAGGTCTTTAAGGTTTGGGTCTAAGGTTTAGGGTTTAGGGTTTAGGGTTAGGTTTAGGCGTTTAGCGAGGGAATTAGGGATGTGGGGGGTTTAGGGCTTAGGGGTGTAGGGGTGGGCACTCCAGGGAGACTCTGGGGTGGAGACTCTGGGGCTGGGAATTCGGGGTACACTCTGGGGTGGGCACTCATGGAGACCTGGGGTTTGGGCACTCCACACTCTGGGGTTGGGCACTCCGGGAACACTCGGGGTTGGGCCCCCAAGAAACATCTGGGGTTGGGCACTCCAGGGACACTTTGGGGTTGGGCATTCCAGGGACTGGGCGAGGGGGCGAGAGAGAAGAGTTCCGGGCGAGGAGAAGAGTTGAGTTAAAAATCTAGCAACCCCACACCGAGGGTGGGGGAAAAAATGGAAGGGGGGAGGGGTCTTAAGCAAACAGTAGCTTATGGGCAACAAGGATTATTAAATTATAGTACCCCCCTATCCCCTATTATAATCCCTGTTAATGACTGCTAGTATAAGCATCCAAGGTGTTACATGGTCCCTGAAGTATGGTCCCCCTTCTTTTTAAGGGTTCCGAAGTATGGGCCCTCGGCTTTGATAGGGGAGATGAGGGGTTTTACGCTGGTCCCCTGTTACTGCTATGAGCATACGAACTCCCTAAAAAAATGGGACAAGTAGTCTTCCTTATAAGGGCAATGTAGGGGATTTATGACTTGTTTAGTGTTAATTTATTGTGGTGTGAGTGTGTTTTTTTTGGGGGTTCTTAAGCAAATAGCAGTTGAGGGCCCATACCAAGGGTGCCTAAACCCTAAAGCCTAAACCGAAAAAACCCAAACCCTAAACCCTAAACCCTAAATAGTAGTTGAACGGCCCATACCAAGGGACGTGTAACTACTTAAAGACTCTTGAGACAGGCGCCGAGGCCGACGCAAGGCCACTGGAGGATCGGCCGCCGAGCCGTGGCCTGTGAGAGAGTTTAGAGTTTAGGAGTTTAGGGTTTAGGGTTAGGGTTTAGGGTTAGGGTTTAGGGTTTGGGAATTGTTTTTGTAGGGTTCAAGGATTCGGGCTTAGGGCTTTGCGTTGTTTACTTCTTTTGCCTTCGGGGGCTTCTTCGGGAGGTTGTAGAGGTTGGGCTTCTCAGGGCAAATTGCAGGTCCAAGGACTCCCAATACCCCTTACATAAGGAATATTCCTGAAAACATAACGGGTTTAGGGTTGAGGTTTAGGATTTAGAGTTTAGGTTTAGGGTTTAGGGTTTAGGGGTTGAATATTCGTAGTGCTGGGGTTGTTCGGGATGGGCTTCAAGTGGGTCTAGGACTGTAAACACCGGGTACGGGCTCATGGGGTTCCAGTGAGTTCAGGGTTAGGGTTTAGGGTTAAGGGTTTCGGGCTTCAAAGTGCTGTGCCAGGGTTTGGGGTTTGGGTTTGGGGTTTAGTGTTTCGGGCTCAGGGCCTGAACCCTAAGCCCCTACATGGGGGGGTTGATCTAGGGTCTTCAAGATTTTAGGTTTCCTCTTGGCCTATGCGGGAGATATAGGTTTTTTGGGGACAGGTCCTAAACGTAAAGCTTAAATCTAGACCTATATCCAGAAGCCTAAAACCAAAAAACCCAACCCCCTAAGACTTGGATGTTCCCCTTATACTAGCAGTCCTTAATAGGATTCTAGTACCCCCTACTATCATCCCAATTCAGGATGCTGGTATATGGGGGAACATCCTATAAACCCTAAACCCTAAACCCTAAACCTAAACCCTAAACCCTAAAAACCCAAAGTGAAGGAAGAGCTACCAGCCGGCGGCACAAGCCGTTCGGGCTCCCTCGTCATCCTAGCGCCGCTGGCACATAGGCGGGGTCCGAAGGTAAGGTTTAGAGTTTAGAGCTTAGGGTTTAGGGGTTAGGGTTTATAAGGTTTAGAGTTTAGGGTTACTTTATAAGGTTAGGGTTTCCTGTTTTTCGCGGTGCGGCTTTCGAACCTTGGGATCTGATGGTCACGGCTGGTCCCTGCTCATAATTAAGTCGGTTGATCCGACGTACGGGCATCCCATACTCTTCCGCCCTAAACCCTAAACCGGCCCTAAGCCCTAAACCCTAAACCCTAAAACCCTAAACCCTAAACGCCTAAACCTAAAACCCTAAACCCTACCCTAAAACAAACCCTAACCCTAAACCCTAAACCCTAAAACAAAACCCTAGACCAACCCTAACCCTAAACCCTAAACCTAAAACCCTAAACCCTACATAACCCTAACCCTAAACCCTAAACCCTAAACCCTAAACCCTAACCCTAAGCCCTAAAAACCCTAAACCCTAACCCTAAACCCTAAACCTAACCGCCTAGAAAACCCTAAACCCTAAACCCCTAACCCTAAACCCTAAACCCTAAACCCTAAACTAAACCCTAAACCCTAAACCTTCTTCGGAATCGTGGTCCCGTACAACGAAACCCCAAACCCTAAACCCTAAACCCTAAACCCTAAACCCTAAACCCTAAACCCTAAACCCTAAACCCTAAACCCTAAACCCTAACCCTAAAAACCCTAAACCCTAAACCGCCTTTATCATCTTCTTCCGGAACTCGGTGAGTCCCACGGCAGTACAACGACCGAAACCCCCAGCCCTCAACCCTAAACCCTAAACCCCAAACCCTAAACCCCAAACCCCAAACCCTAAACCCCCAAAACCCTAAACCCTAAAACCCATGGCCCGACGACCTTGGGCACCAATCTAATTCGCGCGGATTTGACCCGAGCTCGATGCGCTTCTCCACGTACCCAGGGGCCCCTTAGTTAAGGCGCATTCCTTAAATCTAGTAGGGTTCCGGATGTGGTTTTACCCACCGACGCCACGTTCGCGCGCAGAACAGCTCTCTTCAGCCCCGTGCAGAAATGTCGGTATTTGCAGTACTTTCTGCAGTTTTCAGGACATGCACATACAAAATCTCTCGGCGCCAGCAGTGTTTAGGGCAGACAGCACTGACGCCATGAACCTGCATCTTCCTGTACACATGCACAATCCCTTCGAGCCAGCAGTATTCAGGGCAAAGCCAACCTTCCTCCTTGCAGCTGTGCCTGAACTGGCAGACCCGGAGTTTCGTGCACGTCAGCTCCGGGCCATGCAGGCCTCCTCCAACGACACCGTGGACCTCGTAGCCTGCTGCGATGTTGTGGACCTCTCTGAGGACGATCCACCTGCTGCCTTGTCTGTTTCTGGCACTCTTTTCCCCATGAACCAAATCCAGGCACTTCTGAAGTCAAAGTTCTCCTAGGTTTCCTTGTCGAGGGTTGAGTTTTCCCTCTCAGGCTTCGGCTTCTTCCAGTGCGACAGCTTCCTCCGACCTCGGGCCTCCAACCTCTTCGCGGCAGTGTGGTCCCCTGCAAAGCAAACGTCAAGGTTCTTGGAGGAGATAGTATCTGCGAGAGAGCTATTTCGCATGAAAAACGGCAGCTCCGGCGCGTGAACCTGCTCGGCCGCAGTTCGCCACGGATGTTACACATGGATGTCCTTGCCTCTCGAAGACTGCTTCGGAGCGCCGGATTCTGTACAGTTCTCTCGTCTTTGGCGACTTATCTCAATGCACGGGCTGGGCACTGCCTGCAATGGCTAAGGACAACTCGTGGCTGTTCCAGTAAAAAAGGGATCGCCATCCGCTCACACTTGCATGTCGCCATGTCCCCAAACCTTGTCATGTTCAGGGATGCGCGCGCGAGCGCGCGCGCGCGCGCGCGAACGTACCGTAATTTGGGATGGGCTCCGGGTCATCAAACTACGAGTCTAAACCCTAAACCCTAAACCCTGGACCTTAAACCCTAAACCCTAAACCGGTCTCTCAGAGGTGGCCTCCTGACCCTGCCTGACGGACCGCCACACTCATGCTCATCATATCAAACTTCTGCGCACGCCTGTGCTAGGGTTTAGGGTTTAGGTTAGGGTTTATCAGCGTTAGGGTTGAGGGTTTAGGTTTTGGGGTTTAGGATTTCTAAGGGTTAGGGTTTAGGGTTTGGGGTTTGGGGTTTGGGGTTTGGGGTTTATAAGGGTTAGGGTTTAGGGTTTGGGGTTTAGGGTTTAGGGTGTAGGGAAGATCCTGTTCACCATTGGGGTTGTGCAGCTGCCTTTAAGGCTAGACTCTCTCTGACCGGTAGGTGACGAGGTATGCCCCTTGGCTTCCGGCAGTTTCCGAATTCTCGCCGATACCCTTTCATATGTGTCTACAGAGATGCGTTGGGTTGAGCTGGTGCCTAAACCCTAAACCCTAAACCCTAAACCCTAAGCCCTAAACCCTAAAACCCCTCTAACCACCCCAGCGCGCGCGGCAGCAAGCGAAGCGAGAACCTAACACCCCAGCCATGTCTGCGCAAGGCCTACGCTTGACAATCGGCCGGGTCTACACCAAAGAGGACGGGAAGGGGGTTTAGGGTTTCGGGTTTAGGGTTTAGGGTTCAGGGGGCGCCCCCGAAGCCAGGGGCACGGGTTTCGAGGTTGGTGTTTGGTGGTTGAGGCTTCGGGGGCTTTCCTTTTAGTGTTTAAGCCCTCGAACCTTCGCATGTAAACGCAGGGCTTGGTCTGGGATGCACGGTTGGTTTAAATGCTTGTTGTAAATGCAGAAAGGCCTTCGTCTGAAGCCCGGCGGTGTACGGTTTGAGGGTTTCAGGCGTCTGAACAAGCCCACTGGCGCCCTTTTACCCTTCTTTGTTCGGTTTGGGGCTGGATTTCATTCACGAAAGCCGCCAAGGCGTAAATGGATACCCCGGAAAACAGTATGCTTGCTGGGCAACCGCCAAACGGTCATGGGCTTCAAATGACCCTAAAACCTAAACCCTAAACCCCAAACCCCCAAACCCCAAACCCCCAACCGTCTCTGAAAGATCAGCACCCCTCGCGCCTCGAGCATCTTTGGGCCCGAAGCAGCAACATTAAAAGTTCCAGAGACCCCCCCCCCCCCCCCCCCCCCCCTCCCCCCCCCCCCCCCCCCCCCCGCCGGCTCGAAACTAACCCAAACCCTAAAAACCCTAAAACCCTAAACCCTAAACCCTAAAACCCTAAAACCCTAAACCTACAAACCCTCAACCCTAAACCCTAAACCCTAAACCCTAAACCCTAAACCCTTAACCCTTAACCCTTAACCCTTAACCCTAAACCCTAAACCCTAAACCCTAAACCCTAAACCCTAAACCCTAAACCCTAAACCCTAAACCCTACACCCTACACCTTACACCCTACACCCTACATCCAAGCCACGCCGGCCAGGACCTCCAAGCCCGGTGCAAGGGAGACCAGCAAAAGCTGAAGAGGCCTGGGGTTTAGGGTTTAGGGTTTAGGGTTTAGGGTTTAGGGTTTAGGGTTTAGGGTTTAGGGTTTAGGGTTTAGCGTTTAGGGTTTAGGGTTTAGGGTTTAGGAGTATTTGGGGTTGGAGGTTTAGGGTTTGGGGGTAGTTGGGGTATTTGGGTTTAGGCTTTAGGGCCTAGGGGTATCTGGGTTATGGGGCAGAAAATTAGTACGTACTTAGACATACATAGATGTTCATGTATAGCGCTCGCCCCTCCGAGATCTGCGCCCAGGGTATGATCGCCCAAGATCTGCGCTTGCGGGCTCCGGAGAGTTTATCGCTGAGGATGATGACCCTAAACCCCTAAACCCTAAACCCCTAACCCCTAAACCCCTAAACCCCTAAACCCCGAAACCCCTAAACCCCTAAACCCCTAAACCCCAAACCCTAAACCCCAAACCCTAAACCCTAAAATCTAAACTCTAAACCCTAAACCCCTAAACCCTAACCCAAAACCCTAAAAGACATAGTCTCCCGCAGGCCACCCAGCATCTTTGGCCGGCAGGGGCCCGAAACTTGAAACCCGAAACCCTTTTCACTTATATGTACTTATATCCTGGGATTTAGAGTTTAGGGTTTAGGGCTTAGGGCTTAGGGCTTAGGGTTCAGGGTTTAGGTTGTCAAAATTTTGGTCCCTTTTACGGCATGTAATATTTAGGGTACCCCAAAAGGGATCATAATTTTGACAACCGCCCATATGTATTTGTATTGATGTTTATGTCTATATTTTTGTGTTCATATTCATATTCATATCCTGGGGTTTCGGGTTTTGGGGTTAGGGTTCAGGGTCAATACAAAGCTGGCATTGAGAATGATCTATAGGGTTTAGGGTTTCGGGTTGAGGGTTTAGGGTTGAGGGTTTAGGGGTTTAGGGTTTAGGGTTTAGGGGGCTCTACAGGGCTTTTTTCTGCCCCGAATCTCTATGAAACCCAAGAAACCGAAACCCCCTGAACCCTAAAGAAGCTAGCCGCGGATCATGATTCCTCGAAGGCTGGCTTTCTACATCTCCGAGGGGGAGAAGCTGCTGGGCAGCCATGTTGTCTAGGGTTTAGGGTTTTGGGTTAGGGTTGTGGGATTCAGGGATTCAGGAGTTCCCTCAACCCTCAGCCCTATAACCCTATAACCCTATATAACCCTATATAGCCCTATATAACCCTATATCACCCTATAAACCGCATAACCCTAAATCCCCAAACCTTCAGGATTTGAGTTTTTTTTGAGGGTTCGGAGCCTGGGGTGTGTATGGTTCGGGTTGAGGGTCGAATGTCGGGGTTGCCTGCTGAAGGGCGTAGCTTCGAGCTTGGGGCTTGGGCGGGCCCAAAGGCCGTGCAGGGTTTAGGGTTTAGGGTTTAGGGTTTAGGGTTCAGGGTTCAGGGTTTAGGGTTCAGGGTTTAGGGTTTAGGGGTTTAGGGTTTGGGGTTTAGGCTTTGGGGTTTAGGGTTTAGGATTTAGCCATCGAAGATCAAGGCTGAGCCCATGGGAACGAAGAACGGACGCTGGAAACCGACCCGCCTGCTTCCATTGCTGATGGCGACATGGGACAGGTCATGGCTAGAACAGTGACCCTCTACACCCTAAACCCTAAGCCCTAAGCCCTAAGCCCTAAACCCTAAACCCTAAACCCTAAACCCTAAACCCTAAACCCTAAACCCTAAACCCTAAACCCTAAACCCTAAACCCTCCGTGTTCGCAATCGTGATGGCTGAGGGGCTGCTGTTTCGGGAGTACGAGTACCGATCCATCAACAGGAGAGAGCCTGATGAATCCAATCTCAAAGCTCACAGGAGCCATGCAACCCTAAACCCTAAACCCTAAACCCTAGAACTCTCAGGGGCACGAGTTTCGAGGCGCAGGCCCAGCCGCCTGGAGCCTTTCCAGCCGAACATTAGGATTTGATGTTGAGGCCTTTGATTCATTATTCATATAGGAACATAGAGCTTTCATTCAAGCACTTAGGTAGTCTTATTATCTTGGCAGTCAATGACCCTAAGCAAAACTAGAATGTTCTCTAACGGTCTAGGTTCTAATTTCCTGCGCTTTTAAGGTTACCAGTCATGCTTCCAATTAGCATATGTTCCTTCCTTACGGATTCCCTGCCTCAAGAGATCCTTTAGAATATACGAAGAACAGTAGTAGGGGTGCCTTGGAACTCTTGAACTGGGGTATTGTCATTGGCAATTCTAATTCTTGCACGAGTCACGACATGGATTCGCGAGGTTCACGGGCGAGAAAGACCTCCCCCCCCCCCCCCCCCCCCCGATTTGTTCTGGCGCTGCCTCTGAACAACAGTATTGCGGGACCGGGAACCCTAAACTTTAAACCCTAACCTACACCCTAAGCCCTAAACCCGGGGGGGGGGGGGGGGTTTGGCCGGGCCTTCTGTGCTCTGGGGCTCCCCGAACCCTCAACTTGGGATGTTTCTTTTTATACTGACAGTCCTTATTCGGGATGATAATAGGGGGTACTAGAATCCCGAGGAAGGACTGTTAGTATAAGGGGAACATCTCAACCCTAAACCCCAAACCCTAACCAAGCCTCAACTAAATACCCACCTTCGGTTTTTTTTCTGAAGAATCCTCAATAACTCAATATCTGTGGTTCACACCCCCTTCAGACGCTGGACAACCTAACATATTGGACGGCCGACAATGTTTTTTTACTATTCACACTCACGCACTCATGTCAAACAGCTCCTGCGCATTAGGGTTCAGGGTTCAGGCTGTGGGGTTGAGGAGTTCAGCTTCTGCTCTATTCCTCTTGAAACCTACTAAGCCCTAGCCCTAAGCCCTAAGCCCTGCCCCCAGCCCTGAGCCCTAAGCCCTGTAACCCTAAGCCCACCCGCAACCTACTAAGACCCGTAATCCTCAGCCCTAAGCCCTAAGCCCTCAGACCTGTAATCCTCAGCCCTAAGCCCTAAGCCTTAAGCCCTGAAAGGTTGAAACGCGATGCGCCGCCTGCAGCCCTGGCGCAGCGACTCCTCCGATTTTTGGGAGTTTGGGGTTTAGGGCTTAAGGGAGGGTTTAGGGCTGAGGGCTGCGGCTTAGGGCTTAAGGGCTTCGGGTGAGGGGAAGATAGGGTTGTGCCCTGTTGAGGGGGCCCCTGTATTTAGGGTCATAGTGCCTGGAGGAATTTTAGGGGGTTTTGGGGATCAAGAACTTAAAAGTTGAGAGTTACGAGGTCCCCTGCCTTTTGAGCGTGTTGCCATCGGGCCTGCAGCTGAACTTCTGGAACCCCAAACCCTAAACGGCCCTAAACCCTAAACCCCAAACCCTAAACCCTAAATCCCAAACCCCAAGCCCCAAACCCTAAACCCCCCAAACCCTCAACCCCAAACCCTAAACCCTAAACCCTAAACCCTAAACCCCAAACCCCAAACCCTAAACCCTTCAACCGTGAACTCTACATGGCTCTCCCAGGCCTCATCATCTTCCGGGCCCTTCGGGACCAGGTCCCAAGCCGCGAAAACGGCGGCGCCAGTGAGGAGCCAACTCGAAACCCTAAACCCTAAACCCTAAACCCTAAACCCTAAACCCTAAACCCTAAACCCTAAACCCTAAACCCTAAACCCTAAACCCTAAACCCTACACCCTAAACCCTAAACCCTAAACCCTAGACCCTAGACCCTAAACCCTAAACCCTAATCCCTAAACCCTAAACCCTAAACCCTAAACCCTAAACCCTAAACCCTAAACCCTAAACCCTAAACCCTAAACCCAAACCCTAAGCCCTAAAACCTAAACCCGAAACCGCGGCTCTAGACCTTGAACCCCTTCTTCGCCACAACCTACTATTTGCTTCAGAGCCCCTCAGCAAATCTTCTTCCTTATAATGGCAATATGGGGATTATGTTCATTTCTTTTGTGTGGGGGTAGGGCTCAGGGGCATGGAGTACGCTTAATATCAAAAGCTCAACCTATTCGGTTCCAGAGCCCCATAATCCCCAGGAAGGGCAGCGAGGGGGTGGCCTTGGAAAGACTCTTTAATGTCAGAACCAAATCCAAAGCGAATAAAATTGAGCAATAATAATAATAATCGCATGAATAATAGTAGTAATAAAAATAATAGTTTAGGCCACTCAGGTGTTGGGTTTCGTGCTCTTACTCGACACTTTCCTCAGCACTGAATCGGTCCACACTCTCAACCGCGCCGTGGGCTTGCTCAGAGTTTAGGGTTCTAGGGTTTAGGGTTTAGGGTTTAGGGTTCAGGGTTTAGGGTTTAGGGTTTGTGGGGAAAAGGGAACCCTAAGCCCTATCCAAACCCTCAGACCCTCAGGAGCAAGGAGCCAGCAGCGCTGCCCCAAAGAGACGGGCGGGCAGAGGTATCCCTGAAGGGGCTGAAGGAGGGGACCCTGGGAAGGGAACCGGGGGTCTTGCATACTATTTTATTATTATTCTTACGATTATTATCATTACTATTATTATTACTATTATTATTATTATTACTATTATTATTACTCTTATTATTCTTCTTATTATTATTTTGTTATTTTTGTTATACATATATATATATATATTCATATATACATAGCCTCTATATGCCAAAGTTTCCCCTACGTGTACGTACCCCTAAGGTCCCTTACAAGGGTTTAGGGTTTAGGGCTTCGGGATTCGGGTTTGGCATTTAGGGTTGGTAGGGGGCATCGACGGCTGTTTAGCTTTATGATCAGAATTTGGCTTTAAAGTTTACTTCCTGGCCGCGCGCCAATCTCACTCTAGTTTTTAGTCACAGCGGCAAGGCTACGAAGAACTAGGTTTGGCCTTGGGATATTGTACATTGTCCCTTACTGGGTTTAAAAGGCTCCCATTCAGGAATATTTTTTCAGAGGGCTTTCAAGTACCAAACTAGAATAATGGTGCAAGTTGTTTAACTTTATAAGGGCTGAAGATCATTTGGGGTTTCGGGTGTAGGGCTTAGGGTAACGTTTGTTCTAGTAGCAGTTCTTGGGTAGTTTTCTCATTTGCCGGCCCTCTAAGAGTATACCTCATTTCAGAATACTACGGGACCTCAAGTTTATGTCATGCACCTGGTTCAACACCCTGAATCCTAAAACCCTAAATCTTAAACCCTAAACCCTAAAGCCTAAACCCTAAACCCTAAACCCTAAGTACATGTTCATCTTGGCGGGAACAACAGTCAAGAGCAGACGTCGACACAAATATGGTTCAGAGTCGATGAATGCACTTTAGCTAGACGCATACACTAGTTCTTAGGGTTTAGGGTTTACGGTTTACGGTTTAGGGTTTACGGTTTAGGGCGCTGACTTGTGACAACTGCTGGCCTTTGACATAAAAGGCCACAAAATCTGCAGTACAACTTACAGGGGTTTGCTCTCAAGTACCTTTATAGTGTCCCCAAACCAAAAATATATACGGTTGGATGTCAGGTATGTTCTTCAAACTCAGGAAATGTCATGAACCAGTGTTGCATTTGGTGGCCAAGTGCGCGAACGTCGAGCGCCGCAGCTCATTCGACGCATCGGTTGTTCCCCAGATATGCAAGTTGGATCTTAGGATGGTTTCCTCACCGAGATATAGTACACTAAGCCCTAAACCGCAAACTATAGGCCCTAAACCCTAAACCCTAAACCCTAAACCCTAAACCCTAACCCCTTGAACCCTATTTCTCCTGGTGCTTTACCCCACAGACCCGCGAGTCGCCCTCCGACACAAGAAGGCGCGCATGTCACGCAGAGCGTGCGGGAGCGCAAAAACAGGTGAGGGCTCCCCTAGCTGGCTTTAGTAGGGAGTGAGGTACCCTATGAAATCCCTTAAAGAGTGTGTCTATAGGGCCCCAATTCCCTCAGTGCAGGGTAGATATGTATATACATATATATATATATATATATAGAGGGCTCCAATTCCCTCATTGCAGGGGTATAGAGGGCCCTAATTCCCGCATTCGCTACTAAGAACCAGGAGTTCTCTTTGTCCAATTTCAGATCCCTGGTGTAGTTTTGGGGTTCTTACTTATTCTTACCCAGGAAGCAAGGAGTAGGGCCATGCCCTGGTTCGGATTTAGGGTTTAGGCTTTAAAATTTAAAATTTTAGGGTTCAGGTTTAGGGTTTCGGATGTAGGGTCTAGGGTTCAGGGTTTAGGGGATTTGCGGTATAGGGTTTCGGGTTTAGGGTTTCGGGCTCGGATTTCGTGTTTAGGGTTTAGGGTTGACACTTTAGAGGTGTCTGGGCATGGGCTTTAGTCAGTCGTGTTTGGGATTGAATTGTGGATCAGGGTTTGGGCTTTGGAAAGGTTCAGGGTTTAGACTTTGGGGTTCAGGGTTCTGCGGTTTTAGGCTTTAGGGCTCAGGGCTAGTCGGCTCCAAACGATGAGGTTGATGCCTTGGGTCTACCAGTGATAAGGGTTAAAGGGTTCAGCGCTTCTCCTAGACCCTAACTAAACTCCAAACCCCAAACCCCAAACCCCAAACCCCAAACCCCAAACCCCAAACCCCAAACCCCAAACCCTAAACCCTAAACCCTAAACCCTAAACCCCAAACCCAAACCGCCCAAGCGTTCCCCTCCCCAGGTTGGTAACTCTTCAGAAGCCCACCTCAGTGTCCTCCGGCTTCACTCCCTTCGTGAGCACTGGGCCTGGCGGGACGCGTGGGTTTAGGGTTTAGGGTTGAGGGTTGAGGGTTCAGGGTTCAGGGTTTAGGGTTTAGGGTTTAGGGTTAAGGTTTAGGGTTTAGGGCTTGTCTCTTGCGCTCTCCGGATCCCTTGTTGCGCACAACATATGTATATAAACATCCATATGTATATACACTGATGAAGCAGCAACATGAATCTCGATTCTGCCACACGCTCTCGGTTTTGGGGTCCGCTTCCTCAAAGACAACATGAACCCTAAACGTTATACAGGGCTTAGGGTTTAAGGTTTAGGGTTTGGGGTTCAGGGTAGGGTGAACCCGAAAATTGGGGTCATACACACGGAACTACTATAATCCCTGCGGGATTTTAAGATTCATTTGGTCCCCAAGGTTGTGGGCAATGAAATTCTGGGTGCCTTAAAATCTCATTCGATCCAGTATGGATCAAATCAACAGATATACCTTAGCAGCAGCACATTTTTTATACGAAGTTCATTCACGGAAAAACAGTACTTCAGGTTGCAACCCTAAACCCTAAACCCTAAACCCTAAACCCTAAACCCTTAAACCAAAAGCCCTAAGGTATTCGTTCAAGACAAGGCTCCGTGTTCTTGTTCGTTTCTTGGGTTTCCTTGGCCGCGGGCGCTCGCTGCATCCCGTACTCTTTGTGCCACCTACCGAGGGTTTAGGTTTAGGATTTAGTGTTTAAGGTTTAGGGTTTAGGGTTTAGGACATCGGTGAGAGGAGGGCGAAGGGTGTTGGGGAAGGGATGTCCCCAAGCACAGGAACTAGTTGTGGCGAGAATTCCAGCAGCAGGAAGACTCAAGTAATGATCCAAGTATCGCAAGAGCGTCGCACATCGCACGTACCAAGAGTAAGAGCAGTTGTCCCAGCAACAGCCCAAAGACCTCGCAAAATCAGCCGGCCGCCAGGCAGTCAGCACCCCAGAATCTTAAGCCCAAAGCAAGCCTTCATCTGCTGAGGCACCATCAGCACTCTTCGACGTGAGGCCAGACTCCAAACTGTAGAAAGTCCAGCTGCAAGCCCTAAACCCCTCTACCGCTTGTTGGGTGTTAATGAGCTTTGCTATTAAGAGCTGACCGAGCTCACGACGTCATGTTTCATGCAGTTTACATGCGCAGCCACTTTACTTTCAGGTATACCAACACATGAAGTTGCCAGGGAGGAAGAGGCGACCTCTCAGAGGTTTCATACCATGCAGGTGGGAACTGTATCACCAGATTCTGCAGCCAACGTGTCTGGCAGCAAGTAGCTTTTGCCAGTAACCGCGGTAGTTTTTGGGAGCCCCATCGCCCGGAGACAGCAGTTTGCTTGTGCTACATGTGGCGACTGGTGGCAACCATTATCGGGCTGCTACTGGCAATCTTACCGCTCTGGCCTGTCCAACACCACTTTGTCCTCTGGACATGCAAGACTTACAAGTGCATGAAACGAGGTGAAGAGTATGCCGAAGAAAGATCTGAAGCTCCGTTGAGCGCGGAATTCCCAGCAACAATCCCATCAGGTACAAGTTCGACTACACAGAACAGCAGCAGCAGCAGCAGCGGCAGCAGCAGCGGCGGAAGCAGCAGCAGCAGCGGCCGTCCTAGCTCCCAAGTGAAGGAGGATGTTACAACCTGCAAGCACGACCTGTCCGGCAGGCTCTACCGCATGGCGCGCAACTATAAGGACAACCCCGTCGCCAACGACGGGCTGTTGCTGTTCGACGCCTTTCTGCACGTGTCGAACAAGTTTGCATACGTGATGTTCCAGCCCTTTGGAGTTCCCCGTCCTGGCAGGAACTTCATCAAAGGAGAGAAGGAATTGGCCATGGCGATGAATGTGACTTGGTCCTGCTTCTGGGTTTCGCCCGAGGACCCCACCCGTCTGCTGCACACGGCTACAGATTCCCAGTGGCAAAACAGGACCTTCAAAGGCCATGGCAACTATTTTGGCTATGACCTGCTCGTTGTGAAGTGTGACGCTGGGATGCTTACCGCAAACGGCGTTTCGAGGCCGCTCATGATGAACGTCAGCGCTTCAATGTCGAACAATGTTCTGGCACATTGGGAAAAGGTTCTGGTTTGTCACGAGCCACTTTCCCCCACCCCGATCAAGTCCGTCGTCTGTACCGGCTGCTTGCGCGTCGGGAGAAACCCGCACTCCGGAGTTCAGTACATAGCCAAGAGCATGGACAAGCTCATCAAGACCTGGGTGGAGTATAGCCTCCGGATAGGCTTCGACATGGTGTCTAGGATTCCCAGTAGTACCCTTATTCCCTTTTTTTGGGGGGGGGGGGGGGGTTTAGGTTCCCTTTTAAACCCCTTTAAGCAAAAAAGGGCACCCTTTTTAAGCCTTGGTTACTGGGCAGCCTAGGTGTTGATGTATTTTGAGGATGAAGACCTGTCTGAGCTGGAGGGCATGCTGCGGGAGTACATCGACTCGCACCGGCTGGTGCCTGGGCCGGGGATCTCCGCGGGTGGCCTTTCTTGGCAGTTTCTTCTTCAGGGTTTAGGGTTTAGGGTTTAGGGTTTAGGGTTTAGGGTTTAGGGTTTAGGGTTTAGGGTTTAGGGTTTAGGGTTTAGGGTTCAGGTTTCCGTTGCCCACGAAGCCCGACAAGTTGACTTGGAAGTTTAGTAACCCTAAACCCTACCCAGAGCCCTGGGAGGATCCAAAAAGTAGATCCCCCAACTAGAACCCTATACTACCATTGGGTCATTCCTAGGAACCCTTAAGGGGATCTACTCTTGTGGATCCTCCCAGAATTCTGGGTATCCACACAACCCTAACCCTAAATCCTAAACCCTAAACCCTAAACCCTAATCCCTAATCCCTAATCCCTAAACCCTAAACCCAAACCCAGGTCCTCGTCAGATCTTTCTTCAAAGGCATCACTGCGCATGGCTGGAGCCCACTTCTGCTTATTCAGGACGGCACTCCTTCAAAAAACCCGAGTGTTTAGGGTTTAGGGTTTAGGGTTTAGGGTTTAGGGTTTAGGGTTTAGGGTTTAGGGTTTAGGGTTTAGGGTTTAGGGTTTAGGGTTTAGGGTTTAGGGTTTGGAGCGACCCACTTGCCCCCAAGGCAGTATAAAATAGCTGCTGGTAAATATCACTTGGAGGTTCATGGGTACTTACCCTAAACCCTAAACCCTAAACCCTAAACCCTAAACATATAACCCCTAATTCAGGACGGGGCGCGGAGGGCCTTGGGATAGCTCCGGGGTCAAAAACTCAGTTACCGGAAGTTGCCGGAAGCCAGGAAGCCTTGCAATACTCAGCCAGTAGAGGACCCAGGCCCTAAACCCTGAACCCTGAACCCTAAACCCTCAATCCCTGAAGGAGAACCACTGCCTCTGGAGGGCCAAGGGCTTTGCCAAGTACGTCGCGCACAACGACGTGGATGAATGGGTCGACCTGAGTCCGCAGTACCCGAACATCAATGCGTACATGGATCCTAGGTCGGGTCTTGGGAACCCTAAAACCCTAAAACCCTAAAACCCTAAAACCCTAAACCCTAAACCCAAAACCCTAGCTTTCCCGTATTGGGTGACTGAGAGGATCATACCTTTGTATTGTTTTTCGCCCCTTGGGTCCATGTACCTGGTTATTGTATACTTGGGCCCCCCACGTATTCCCCATTTAGGTACATGGACCCTTAGTAAAGCCAGAGGTTGATTAGGGGCCAAAACCCCAACCCCAAACCCCAAACCCCAAACCCCAAACCCCAAACCCCAAACCCCAAACCCCAAACCCCAAACCCCAAACCCCAAACCCCAAACCCCAAACCCCAAACCCCAACCCCAAACCCCAACCTCTAAACCCTAAACCCTAAATCCTAAACCTTAAACCCTAAACCCTAAACCCTAAACCCTAAACCCTCAACCCATCCAAGGATCAGGCCCTCGGAGGCACTGACTATGCTGCCATCTCCATCCCGGAGAAGCGCTGGCTCATTCCGGGACCCAAAGCTTCCCGGGGCGGGCACCTTCGGGACACTTTGGAATAATGGGTTTAGGGTTTAGGGTTTAGGGTTTAGGTAGTTTTTGCATTTGTGGGCCTGGGGCACTGCTAATTGTCCCGGCTGTTTCCACCTTCGGATGGCAGAGTCTTGCCTTGCCGGTGACACCTCACAGCCGATACCGATTTGGGCACTCATCCTGGGTCCTTTCTGGTAGTTTTGTGGCTTGATTGGGGCCCAGAGGGTGCAGGGCGGAATGGAGGATGTGTGGACGCACTACTGGCCCTCGTGCTCGCGGCTGTGCTCTAGGGCCCACTGCCGTCTAGCCTGCGCGCTTCGGCGTCTGTGCGGGCATTTGTGAGTGGCTGCTTGCACGGGGTGGACAGTGAGGGCCTTGAACCTTTGCCGGAGGGTCGCCAATGACGCTTGCGGAGGCTCCCTGAGATGGCGGAGGGGACGGCACCCTTAGGCAGCAGTGCCCTGCGTGCCGAGTCCATCCACCCAAGAAACAGCTAAAATTATACCTCAGGGATACTTGGGAACAATTGTTTGAAACATTTTGGGGTACTAGAATTGGAAATAAACAGCTACTCGGGAATAGTTTTTAAGTTTTGGGGCACTATACTTCCTAAGAAACAGCCAAAGTTGTAATTCTTGGTAGGGTTCCAAGTTCAGTAGAGGTACAACTGGGACATATACCCCTGTGACGAAATCTGCCGCGGCGGCGAGGGCGGGCGCAACAAGCTGCTCATGGACACGGAGCGCGTGGAAGGTTATCAGGTGCACATAATCAAGAAGCCATGGCAGGATGGGACGACCGTCACTTAGAGATACTTGGAAATAGTTTTGAGTTTTTGGGTACTTTATAGCCGAAGACACAGCTAAAATTAGAATTTTTGCTAGGGTTCCAAGTTCAGCATAGGTGAGGACTCCACCAGATACCGAAATTCGTCTGGTGCATTATCGGCTTGTGCATCTAGCCACGGTCAGTGGCATGATAAATTGCGGCGACATCTTCCCGGGCACCATGATCAACTCGACCTATGCATCATGGATAAGGGAGAGGTGCCCCAGCATCCTCCCGAATCTCCCAAATTATACGGAGCCGCCGCCCTTCTGGCGCCGACGGCGGCAGCCTCGAATGCTGCTGGGCCCCTGAAAAAAGGAAGGGGTGGCTTAGTAGGGTTTAGGGCCAGTTTAGGGTTTAGGGTTTAGGGTTTAGTGTTTAGTTTTTAGGGTTTAGGGTTTAGGGTTTAGGGCCACCCAGTTTTGGTGCCCAGAGTGCCTCGGAAAGGCCCTGGCCCATCCCAACCTCCAACGAGGGGCCTCTACAGGTAGTTACATGGGCCCTTAATACGGTCCGGGGTTCTGATGGATGGGCCCTTAGTTTGTATAGGGTATGTGAGGGGTGAAAAAAAGGGCCCCCTTTTTCAAGGGCCACACTAAGGGACCATGTAACTTCGCCAAGATGGCTCCTAGACATCCTCATCCTCTTGCTGGGGTCCTACGGATCCCACGGCCAGCATCAAAAACTCAGTGGGAAGGGTTTGCAGCAGTCGTCTCGAACCCCGAAAAAACACAAGAATATTCTCCCTTACTAAGGGTAGTATAGGGATCATTCCTTCTTATTCTTTTCGAGACATCCCGAGCTCTTCTGGTAACATGCATGGCAACAAAACCCTTGTAAAGCGACGGGACCACTTGAAAAGCCACACACCCCTGACACGCGTCCATCGCCGTTTAGTCACAGTCCAGACCATTATAAGAAGGACTTTAATCTGAACAACCACCCACATGCTGACGCATGTTACTATGTAATTAAACTTCGAAAAGCCCCTAGAAGGGCCGAAAAGACTCTCCCTCTCAGCTCCTTATGAGCCCCTAAACCCTAAACCCTAAACCCTTAAACCCTGCGAAGGCCTGCCGCCCCTTGGAAAACCCCCGTGAGTCTTTGGACAGAACCCCTATCCCACCCTAAGCCCGAATCCCAAAACCCTAAACCCCAAACCCAAACCCAAACCCCAAACCCCAAACCCCAAAACCCCAAACCCCAAACCCCAAACCCCAAACCCCAAACCCCCAAACCCTAAACCCTAAACCTTAAACCCCAAACCCTAAACCCTAAACCCTAAACCCTAAACCCTAAACCCTAAACCCTAAACCCTAAACCCTAAACCCTAAACCCTAAACCCTAAACCCAAACAACCCCAATGCCCTGCAGGGCACTGCGGCGGAGTCTCATGGCCGGGCTCCCGGGTTTTGAACCCTAACTGCTAGGTCTTGCTAGGGTTTAGGGTTTAGGGTTTCGGGTTTAGGGTTTAGGGTTTAGGGTTTAGGGTTAAGGGTCTTAGGGGCTTAGGGCTTTGGGCTTTGGGCTTTGGGCTTGGGGCTTTGGGCTTTGGGCTTTGGGCTTTAGGCCAGGGTTTGGGTTAGGGCTTCGGGGAGTCTAGGGCACATGCCCGCAAGGGTTCAGACTTTTCTATCCAAAGAGCCCAATGCAAGGGTTTAGGGTTTAGGGTTTAGGGTTTAGGGCTTAGGGTTTAGGGTTTAGGGTTTCGGGGTTTAGGGTTTAGGGTTACCCTAAACCCTAAACCCTAAACCCTAAACCCAAAACCCTAAACCCTAAACCCGTTTAGGGTGGAAGGCTGTTGGAGAATTCCCTTGTATGTCCCACCCCCTTGCCGGCTGATGCTTCTTCGGGGAGAGGTGCTCGTTTCAGCAACTACCCTACCCCACACCTCCAGCTTGAGACCCTGGAATCCTAAACCCTTTGAAGCCCCAAACTTGGGATGTTCCCCCTTATACAAACAGTCCTTAATAGGGCCAGGGGCTATAATGAGTGGTACTATAATCCCTATGAAGGACTGTTCCACTCGTATGAGGTGGAACATCCCAACCCTAAACCCTAAACCCTAAACCCTAAATCCTTTGAAGCCCTCAACCCTAACCCCCTCAGCCCTTTGTCCAAGGCCACCGGCTATTCACCTTCCTGGGTGGTGAGACAGGCGAAGAGTCGATTCGGATATTCCCGAGACGGGCTTAGGATTGCGGTGTAGGGTCTCAAAGGGTTTAGGGTTTAGGGTTTATGGCCTAGGGGTTAGGTCGGGATTTGCTTGGAGGTTCATGGGTTACTTGTAAGTAGGGGTATAAGTTGGGTTGGTATAGCCGTTATTCGTGTTAGCCTTACTTAGGGTACATAGAACCCCACTTGTAGGTACCCATGAATTTCGAAGTATGGGTTCAGGGGTTGGAGGTTGAGGGTGTTTTTGGGCTTCGGGCGGGTTTGAGGAGGGTGTGGGATGGTCAATGCCGCCCATCATCTGGGACCCAACACCTTGCATCCAGATCGTCACCTACACCCTATAGCCCAGGCTTAGTTAGGTCTAAGCTTCGGCAAACTTAACTACTCTTTGCTGAAGAACCTCCACCCAAACAAACAAAAAAGATGGCAATCCCTATATTGCCCTTACAAGCATTTCTTTTTTTTTTTTGGGGGGGGGGGGGGGGGGGGTTGTTCTTGAGCAGATAGTATTATAGCAGCAAATCGCAAACCCCAAACCGCAGCGCTTCTGTCAAGATCCTGGCTGGTCGCAGTGCTTCAGGTATTTGTATGTGCCATGAACCCTAAACCCTAGACCCTAAACCCTCAACCCTAAACCCTAAACCCTGAACCCTAAACCCTGAACCCTGAACCCTATAAGCAAGTTGCGAAGCCAAGCTGCCAGGAGCCAAAGGTCAAGGCAAGGTCTGCGCAGCACTGGCCCCAATCAGGTTGGTGAGTTAGGTCGTTGGAGCCACCCTAAACCCTAACCCTAACCCTCAACCCTGGCCCTCCTCTAATTTAAACATTTTCCTGCTGGATAGTCTCTTGAGGGGAGAAAGGGGGGGTGGTTTAAGACGAAAAGGCACCTGCTGCTTTGTTTTTTTGTTTCCTGTGCCCTGCTCCTTGCGCCTTTCGTGCAGCAGAAACTGGTGAGGATTGTGCGTTCAAGCAGAGGTGTCTGGAGCTGTTGACAAAAGATTCCCCTAAAGCCTAAACCCAAAACCTCTAAACCCGGTGCATGCCCCCCTGCTTGGAAGCCACGCATTTGCGCTTTCCGGTGTCTCGTAGAGTCTTGGTGGGACTTTCTTATAACTTCATCACTTCATAAGTTTAGGGTTCCTCTAACTTTATATTAAGGGAGCAAAAAGTTAAACCCTTTATTGGGGGGTTAAACAGCAACCTAGGAGTGTGGTAGGTTTGGGTTTAGGGTTTAGTGTGTGCTCTTTGCAGCTTCAGTTCCAAGCCTCCAGACTCCAGCGCAAGCCCTCTCAACCCCAAACCCTCCCTAACCCCTAAACTCTGCACTTGGGATGCTCCCCCTTCTACTACCAGTCCTCAATGGGGATTATCGTACCCCCTCTTATACTCCCTCTTAAGGACTGTTTGGAAAAAGGGGGAACATCCCCCACTCTTCATTCAACAACCCTAAACCCTCCACCCTCAACCCTAAACCCTAAACCCTAAAACCCTAGACCCACTCTTCATTCAAGTGTGGCTTTAAGGTCGGGTCAACCCTGCTCCCGGAACGCTGCCAAGAGGTTGGCAGCACCGCGAAGGAGGTGCATACTATTTTGGGAAATGCCCAATGTAAAGCCCCCTTTAAGCGGATTCTATTTTATTTAGGGGTATAGAAGGGGTACCCACTATTTTGGAAAATGCCCATATAAACCCTACACTGTCTCAGAGTTGCAGGGCTTGCGTCAACCACCAGTTCCCCTGTAGAACTCCAAGCCCCATCTTCCCCCCGACAGCGCTTTCCGGAAAAGCCACTGATAGTCACATACCCCCCAAACATTAAAATCCACCCTCAACATCTTCTTGGTATACTTATGAGAGAAGGGTTTAGGATTTAGGGCACTTTAGGGTGTAAGGTTTAGAGTTTAAGGTTTAGGGTTTATGGGTTAGGGTCTAGGGTTCAAGGTGTGATCGCTCCAAGGGGGCAAAAAGAGGACGACAGTTCGACACGTTGACGAGGAGAACGCCGAGAACATGCACACGTAACATCGTAACATAGAAGTATACAGTAATACAGTTTATAGTAATGTGGAAATATGCTAGTATAGGAATCTAGTATCTATGATCATATAGTAATACAGTAATATAGCACTTGCAGTCATATAGTAGTATTGTAACATAGGAACCATAGTAGTATAGTGGTACAGTAGTAGTATAGTACTATATTTATCATAGTAGTGTAGTAGTACAGTAGTATAGTAATATAGTTATCATAGTTATCATAGTTATCATAGTAATCATAGTAATCATGGTCATCATAGTACTCATAGTAATCATACCAATTACAGTAATCATAGCAATCATAGCAGTCATAGTAATCATAGTAACCATAGTAGTACTGTAGCATTGCTAGTAGCTAGTAAGATAGTGCTCATCGTAATCATAAACATTGCAGTAGTCTGGTATTCTAGTAGTATGGTAGTTCAGTAGTTTAGCAGTATAGTAGTATAGTAATCTAGTAGTCATAGTAGTCATAGTAATCATAGTCATCATAGTAATCATAGTAATAATAGTAATCATAGTAATTACAGTAGTGTAGTAGTACAGGAAGACCGAGGCGTGAGCGCGCATCCATCAGCCCCACAGTGCAGGAAAGGACCGCGCCGGACACGGTTTTTCGCGGCGCGCGACCACGAGCTTCAGAAGGGGACTATGGAGGGTTTAGGGTTTAGGGTTTAGGGTTTAGGGTTTTGGGTTTTGGGTTTTGGGCTTAGGGCTTAGGGTTTAGGGTTTAGGGTTTAGGGTTTAGGGTTTAGGGTTTAGGGTGGTTTCCGAATTGGGGTACCTTTATTGTAGCCTTTTTATACGGGAACCCTACTAATTATTTGGGGTCAAAATTAGGGTTTAGGGTTTACCTAGGCAGGAGCGCGATTTTCGAAGCGGGCTATGGGCAATTCTGAGCACTCGAAATTTTTAGTTAGACCCAGGTTACTAGAACCCTCAATCCTACACCCTTAAGGACTTATTTCTTCGGTCACTGGAAGTATAGGGGCACGTTCAAGAAATTCTGCGCTTGCGCCCGCTCCTTGATGAGTGCACGATTTCGACTCGGAAAGGAACTCTATAACCCCGCCGCGCCCCCACTGCCCCCCCCCCCCCCCCCCCCCCCCCGCCGCCCCCCCCACCGGCCCCACCCCCAACTCCTGCCCTGAAAGCCATAACCGAGCATTTTCCGGAATCTTGGTTTTTACGGTTTAGTGTGTCGTCTGTTGGCAGGTGCTTTCGGTGGCTTCGACGTTGCTGTCGGACAACCGCGTCTTCCTCTTGACGACCACGGCGGGGCAATCCTCTGCAGTTTTCGGGGCTTAGGGTGGGGCTAGGTATAGCGTTTCGTTATGGTTAATATGCTTATTATACGACAATGTCATTATATTATGTTTACTTAATGGGTATACTTCTACATGATTGCAGGGTGTATTGACTATACGATTCAATTCATAATATCGTACTTCTCCATTCTTGCATCATATTACTGTATTACTAATTTTTTTTTATATATATTTTGCTCTTTGACCAGGCTACTATAATACCTTGACAGTACTGTACTACTCTGCTACTGGAATACCAGATTGCTAGATTACTATCTCACTATACTACTACATGACCATATTGCGCTACTGCTCTATTACTCGGTTACTCGATTTCTATATTACTGTAGTACTGTCTTACTGGATTACTGTACTACTGTAGTATTATGTAAATATTAAATATGTGTTGGTAGTTTCCTTCTACTGTCATGCTATTAGTGTTGTATTGTTCCAGTGTTATACCAAATTGTGTCATTATTCGTAAACCCTAAGCCCTAAACCCTAAACCCTAAACCCTAAACCCTAAACCCTAAACCCTAAACACAATTCCCTTCTTTTATTTGGGACGAGCAACGTCGTATCATTTTGCTGCACTACTGTGCTGCTTGAGGGGGCACCTGGGGGCCCCTAAGCCCAAAGCACCCTTGAAGCCCTCAGTGGAGCCTTTTCGGGTGTAGGGTTGAGGGTGTAGGGTTTAGGGTTTAGGGTTTAGGGTTTAGGGTTTAGGGTTTAAACCCTAAGCCCTAAAACCCTAAACCCTCAAGGTCCAAGTTTGTCAAGTTTGGACCCTACGGAAGATGCCCGTAACCCTACATGTGCATACCTCCCCACAAACCTGAGGGTGGAACCAAGGGCCCTTAGTATGGTCCCTTGCCCTTGTTCTCGGTTTTCTTCTGGCTGGCCCTTAGGACTTAGGACTTTAACTTTTTGGTTTTTGTAGAAACCACAATAAGGATCCTAAAAGTTAAACTTTTCGGAGGGGTTCAGAAGTCAGCCAAGTGTTTATAGGGATCCGGAGCATGGGAAATTTATTGCCTGTTAGCGTACAGAAGGGCTCCATAACCAGGAGCCCAAGTTAAGGGCCCAGACTTGGAAAGTGAGAACAAGGGCTTTGCTCAGGGCTTTGCGAACACTTCGGCTGAAGTATGGAGCAAGTGGGGGGGGGGGATGCCTCTCGGTTGTAAGTCGAGTTATATTTGGGCCCTGGCTTTGGTTGCAATGACACAGGTATTCAGGTCTAAACAGTTGAAACGCTCAGCTTAGTTAGTTTAGCATGGGGCGGGAGGGGGGGAGGGGGGGAGGGGATGTGGGGAGGAGGGGGGGGCAGGAGGAGGATTCTGGAACCGCACAGCTCCCCTACCCAGGGTTTAGGGCTTATAGGGTCTAGGGTTTGCGGTGAAGGGTTTGGCTTCTTCAAGCCATTCAAGCCAGCGTGCGGGGCTTCGTGAGAGTTTTGGTTTTTTGGGGGTTTAGGCTTTTAGGGTTTGGGGCCACGGGGTGTGATCTTTGCTGAGTGTTGATGATCAGGGCGTAGGGCCCTAAACCCTAAACCCTAAACCCTAAACCCTAAACCCTAAACCCTAAACCCTAAGCAATAAACCCTAAACCCTACACCCTAAACCCTAAAACACAGGCCAAGGGCGAGCCGTACTACGCCCTGATCGGCCTCTGAGAGGGGAGCCACCTCTTCTCGACCTCGAAGCCCCACCTAACCCTTGGACACTACAACACCCTGGCCCTAAACCCTAGACCCTAGACCCTAAACCCTAAACCCTAAACCCTAAACCCTCGAAAGCTCTCTGTGGGTATCCACCGCCTCGACATAGCGATTGCAGCCGTTTCACTCGGGCACCTGCCCCGAAACTTCCATGTGTGTCTTGGTAGCTATAGGTTTAGGGTTTAGGGTTTAGGGTTTAGGGTTTAGGGTTTAGGGTTTAGGGTTTAGGGTTTTAGGGTTTTAGGGTTTGAGGGTTTAGGGTTTAGGGAGCACTCCTCACTTCTGTCCAAATACTGCTCAGCGAGAGCAGACAAAACGTCTCAAGCATGATTTGGTAACATTGGGGACCAAATGAACCGCCACACACCCTAACACCCTATACTACTAGAATCCCCAGTAGGGCAATATGAACCATAAACCTTGTTAGGGTTCATTCGGTCCCAAAGGTCAAGGCGTTTGTGCAGCACGTGCTCTGGAAGACCTTTAGTGCCAAGGTTTTTTGGTCTTGGAGGGGTATTTTGGGTAACTAGCTCATATTGCAACTGTCTCGGGATTCTGTTCAGGGAAGAAGATTGTGATGTTCACACTCCTCACTCCCCCTGGTAAAATGGCAGACTCCGTAACTCACACGGAGTGCCGTACCATTGCTACCTAGGTCGGGGGGCTGGAGCATGGGTTGTACCCCATGTGTGGGCAGAGGCATTGCCCATGGAGCATGCCGAACTTTGGGAATCACACGGTCTAGGCGTTAGCGTAAGCACGGTGAGAAAGTCGACACGTCCGCATTTGTCTGGTGGATTGCGCGCTGCAGGCACTGCACGCTGCAGTCCGCGTCACCGGCTGCTACTTCATGGTGCATACCATTGCTGTTTCAGCTTCTTCCCATACTAGAGACATGAGGACAGCCCAAGCATCAAGTCGTCATCCCTCCGCACAAGCTCCTAGCTCCACAGCTTGAAATCTGAGTTCGTTTCAGCCAGGCGGGTGCTAAAGCTAGTCTACATATCATGGGTAGCGTTTGCCGGCCTGCTCACACGACGAGACCGTAAAGCCATTTCCTTACTGTGCGCGAGTGACGGAAATCGTTTGCGAGTCGCAAGCCCAAACCGTCTCTTTGGAGTTACTGGGCAATGTCGGAACCTCAGCCTTTGCCTGACGCCGTTGGACTGCCCGAGAATGACTTGGAGGACATGAGCGGTTTGGGGTTTAACCCTAAACCCTAAACCCTAAACCCTAAACCCTAAACCCTAAACCCTAAACCCTAAACCCTAAACCCTAAACCCTCGGCCTCTTGGCGCGTGAGCAGAAACAAGCATGCATGGCACTCCCTTTGCGGACCGCATGAACCCTAAAATTTGGGGTCATACACCCTGTATTGGGTGGTTGTCAAATTATGATCCCTTTTGGGGTGCCCTTAATATTAGGTGCAGCATTATAATAGGGATCCAAAAAGGGACTATAATTTTGTACTAGAATAGCAAAAAAGAAACCTAAGCGGAGGAGAAGGATTCTAGGGTCCTTACTCGATTTTCGTTCAAGGGGTGGTATGCAACCCAAGGTTTCCTAATACTCCCCACTACTCCCGCAGGCTTCCCTATACCTACCCTAAACCCTAGACCCTAGACCCTAGACCCTAAACCCTAAACCCTAAACCCTAAACCCTAAACCCTAAACCCTAAACCCTAAACCCTAAACCCTAAACCCTAAACCCTAAACCCTAAACCCTAAACCCTAAACCCTAACCCACCCTTAAGGGCCCAATAGAAGCAGGAGGAGCCGCTGGTGGGTCCCAAGCCGAAGAAGCCGAAGGTTGGACGTGAAGTGCTTGGTGTGGGGTTCAGGGTTATATAGGGTTTAGGGTTTTGGGTTTAGGGTTTAGATTTTAGGGTTTAGGGTTTATATAAGGTTTAGGGTTTAAGGTTTAGTGTTTAGGGGTTAGGGGTTAGGGTTTAGGGTTTATAGGGTTTATAGGGTTTATAGGGTTCATAGAGTTTATAGGGTTTAGGGTGTTGAAGGGTTTGAATGGTTTCGGGTCTAGAGTTAGGGTTTAGGGTGGACATGGTTAAGGGTTTAGGTTGCAGGGGTTCAGAGCTGAGGAATCCGCATGTTAGCCCTAAACCCTGAACCCTAAACCCTAAACCCTAAACCCTAAACCCTAAACCCTAAACCCTAAACCCTGAGCCCTCGCGGGACATCCCTCCCTCGTGCCACCTTAAGGTGGTGGGCGTTGACGACGCCGACATCGCCACCACAGCGGATCACTGTCACTTGCTGCATGGCTGCCTTAGAAACATGGATGCAGACCAGGGCATCCCTAAACCCTAAACCCTAAACCCTAAACCCTAAACCCTAAACCCTAAACCCTAAACCCTAAACCCTAAACCCTAAACCCTAAACCCTAAACCCTAAACCCCAAGCATGGATGCAGACCAGGGCCTCTACTGGCAGGGACTTAGCGACTCTCCGGTGCCTAGGACCCAGAGCAGGCCCGCATTCCCTAGGTTTTGAGGCTTAGGTTCCCTGACAAACCCCTTCAAAGTTTCTCTAGGGTGAGGGCCCTAAACCCTAAACCCTAAACCTTAAACCCAAAACCCTAAACCCTAAACCCTAACCCCTAAACCCCAGCAGAGGAAACATCTGCCGCCTGCTTGCTGGAATGCTCTGTGGAATCGTAGTCGTCGCGTCCAGCTCCTTTCGGGCCAGCGGCCCAGAGGTACCTTGAAAAGCAGCTGAACCCTGAAATTGGGTTTAGGTTTAAGGGTTTAGGGTTTAGGGGTTAGGGTTTAGGGTTTAGGGTACCCTGCACTACACTACTACAATTCCCTTTTACTTGGGGCAACATGAACCCTAAAACCCTACACCAAATCCCTAACCAAAAACCCTAAACCCTAAACCCTAAACCCTAAACCCTAAACCCTAAACCCTAAACCCTAAACCCTAAACCCTAAACCCCAAACCCCTAAACCCTAAACCCTAAGCCCCCCCGGAGGTAAGCCCTGTCGCTTTGGATGGCGCTCCGCGACCCCACGGCACCCGCGCGCCGACTCCGGCAGCCACGATTTCTGCGCCGACTCCGAGAGCCACGGAGACTTTGGCCAGGCCCCTTCGGAACATTTCCACATCTTCTTGTTTGTTTGATGGGGTATGGGAGATATATGTGTGTATATATACATATACATATCTATATACATATATATATATACACACATATTTTTTCATTTATTTTTTATTTTTTTTCTGGGGGGGGGTTGGGGTTTCGGGTTGGGGTTTAGGGGGTATTCCGTTCCGCGGATATGATTCATCAGTGGGGTGGTTAGTGGCCAAGCGAGGACTGCATCAGCCGAGTCCGTTCCTGGAAAGCTCCTGTTCTCTGCTGGCGAGTACAGATATCCCTATGATCCGGGCCAAGATGCTTTTAACGCAAAGGCCATCTCAGTAGCTGAGTAGGTAGGCTTTAACCTTGTAGGGGTATCCAGAATCCTACCAAAATTGTAAACCCTAAGCCCTAAGCCCTAAACCCTAAAGGCCCTAAACCCTAAACCCTAAACCCCTAGTTCGGCCCAGGGTACCCAGCAACTAGGCCATGGAATGTCTCCGGAAGACAACTCCCGACATGAAGCGCTTGGAATATCCCGACGATGCTGAAGAACATTTCGAAGAACCTTGGTATTATGGTGTAGGGTTTAGGGTTTAGGGTTTTTTTGTGTGTTCTGGGTTCCCTTATCAAGGAACCAACCCAAAAAGACGGTACCCTTGTTGTAAGCTGGCTACTGGGCTACCAAGGAACTAAACCAAAGTTTGGTCAAGTTCACGAAACTTTGTCACAGTTGGGTAACATTTTACATTTTTAAGGATACATAAACCCAGTAAGGAATAGAAATTTAAATGTTTAATGCGAGCCCAACCATGAATCAGGAAAGGGGTGCGGCCGCTCTGCAGCAAGTTTGCGAAAGGCTACTGCGGCCCCTGGCTCGAAGCTTGGTCGGCTTGCCCTTTTGTTGGTTCAAGTTTCTTAGGGCTTTGGGGTTAGGGGTTAGGGTTTAGGGTTTAGGGTTTATACAGTCAAACACGCCCCCCCCCCCCCCCCCCCCCCAACAAAAAAAAACAGGGTACATAGGGTTACCCTTGTTTTGTATGGTTGCCGTGCTACCCAGGAAAACTACTGGATTTCGAACTTCAGCGCCCTCTGGAGGAACCGTAAGAGCGGCAGGCGTCTTCGGGACTTTTTCGGCCCGTACATTCCGATCTTCTTTCCGTTTATGGATACTTGTTGGCCCAGCGGCTCCCGTTTGCCCTTTTGTTGGGTTCTAGGTTCCCTTATAGGTAACCATCCCCAACAAAAGGGTACCCCCATTGTAATATGGCTGCTGGCCTACCAAGGATACATACATGCCAATGTTTTATCGTTACCCAAAGGGGCTCCTCGAGACACTCAACGAGACGATGCGGCCTAACGTACTGTACTTGGCTGTATCTCAATGCGACGATGGGCTCTTTGGACACTGGCCAACCCGTGCTCAGATCAAGTTCAGACAGACGGACTTCCCAAACATGCTGGTGATGAGTGCCGGTGGGTACGGCCACGTCCCGCTGCCGTTGTTCAAGCAGATGGAAGATCCAGTGGCACTGAAGCCAATTATGGACAGAACCTACGCGGCTTCCTTCATGGGTTCACTGAACCACGGACCACGGTGGTTTCGCTTGACCATGAAGAAGATCGCGGAAAGCTGGGGCGAAGTACGAGGCAAGGCAGTTCGTATAGGGCAGGGCCAGGACTGGAGGGAGGTCATGGGAAACACGAGCCTGAACCTCTCGCCACGCGGGTTCGGGCGTAACTCCTACCGGACAGTTGCTTAGCAGTAGAGTAGATAACCTTTAACCTTTTTTGGGTATTCTAATCTCGCTCTAATCCCCAAGATTGCTCTAGTTTTCAAGGCTACTGGACAACGAAGGTTGAGCTCCTCCAGATGGGACTAATACCTATCTCAGTCTGCGACAAAGTCCCCTGGCTCTTCTACAGAGATCTGTGGACCGAGGAGAAGATCGGCTTCTTCTCGACACCCGAGGAGTTGGGGCACACCCTGGATCATGCCTTCTCCGATGTCCCAAAGCTGAAGGAAATGGAAAGTCGTATCCGGGACATGAGGGAGACCCATTTTCTACCGCTGGGCATCATGGATCAGATCTCCAAGTTCATAACCGACAGGGACGGGGGTGGGGATCTCAGATGCCAGGCCTTGCCGGACAGCATTCTCTGAAGGCTCACCGTGGCCGGGGATATGTGACATCGGACTCGTTTCCATTCAACCACGCCATGTTGCCGGCGTTGCAGAAGATTTCACCTTCGTGTGGATACCACAGCGGCGCCGCTCTCCCACAACACCTGTGGCAGGTATGGCCCGCCATTGCTGCGTGGTCGGGCTTGGGTTTTGAGGATGAGAGGCTCTACTGCACGATTGCATCAGCATCGCTGGGCTGCTGATGTTTGACACCTTTCTGCATAAGTTCGCATACGTCATGCTTCATCCCACTGGAAAGCCCCCTGATGGCCAGAGCTTCTTCATCGGCAAGAAGTCCGTGGCCACCGCTGAATGTGACCTTGTCCTGCATCTGGGTTTAAAATTCCGCCCGAGGATCTCACCCATCTGCGGCTACGGCTGCGCGCGTGGCCCTGGGATGCTTGCTGCCAATGGGACTTCGGGGGGCCGCTGGTGACGAACATGCGCGCTCTTGAGTTTCGAGCAAAGTTCCGGCAAATCGGGGAATGTTCAGGGTTTAGGGTTTAGGGTTTAGGGTTTAGGGTTTAGGGTTTAGGGTTCCCGATCAAGTCCGTCGTGCGTACCGCCTGTTTGCGCGAAGGGGAATCCAATTTTGACCCAGTCTACGTTGCAGGGCAGCCCTCCCGTCGTCAAGCCTTTGGAAACCTCCATAATCAATTAGGGTCTACGTGCGTAATATGTCAATACAGAAAGCCCAACCTCCAGGACCCCAAATGCTATAAAACCCTTCGCCGCCGGCAATTGATGTCAGATAGAACGCACCCAGGCCGAGCAAGACCCCCTTTCGCATGGCGGCCAGCATGCAAAGAGTGTTTCTAAGCTCCATTCGGGCGAAGTCTTTCCCTGTCCTCTCAAGACCACGACCCCTCTCAACCCTGATGCCTGCCATCCTTTTTTTTCGGATGAGCTCCTGAAAGACCATGTATACATGACCACCCCTCCATACTGAATGGGTCGCCATGGGACCGCGCCCAGCGCGCCATGATCCGCACCTCTTTTGTCTCCTACCTCCTCTACAGCACCTCGGCAGCCCAGAGGTACCCTTTACCCCTTTTTTTTGGTTCTGGGTTCCCTTGTAAAGTAGCCAACCAAAGAATCCCCAAACCCTAAACCCTAAACCCTAAACCCTAAACCCTAAACCCTAAACCCTAAACAGGGTGCCCTGATTGCAACATGGCCTGCTGGGCTACTATAAGGCACCCGGCTCCGGGTGAACGAGACGCCCAACGTCGAGCCCTTGGACGTGCCGAAGCTCCCTGAGGAGCTTACGGAACCTCAGGGCTTCTTTGGAATATGTTCTTTGTGTGTTTTTTTAGAACAATAATAACAAATAATGATAATGTTCATAATAAGTTGGGGAGCTGTAATTCCTGAGAAATAGCTGAAGTTATGATTTTTGACCGATTTTTGCTAGGGTTCTCTAAGTCCAGTAAAAAGGAACCGGGCCATCATGACCTCCTTAGCACCTGCCTCCTGGCGCTCCTGCTCAGCGCAGGGCTGGTAGTCCTTGCGCAGCTCCGCCCGGCCCACACTTGGACCCCTGGAATCAGGATTTAGGGTTTAGGGTTTAGGGTTGAGGGTTTAGGGTGTAGGGTTTAGGGTGTAGGGTTTAGGGTGAATCTAGTAGTTGAGTAGGTGACCTTTAACCCTTTTTGGGGTAGCACCAATCCCCTTAGAATCCCAAAGGTTCACCTTTAATTCCCCCCCAGGTTACTGGACAACTAAGGACCTCTGGAATCAGAGCCTTGGTGGCCCAGTGGTACCCTTTGCCCCTTTTCTTTTTGGTTCTGGGTTCCCTTATACAGAGTAACCAACCGAAAAATAAGGGTGCCCTTGTTATATGATATGGTTGCTGGGCTACCAAGGAGTTGATGATGTGGATCCGGCGGTGGAGGTGAAGCGCGCCGGCGAGGCCAGCGTTCAGAGCACACCCTGCAAAGACAAGGAGGAGGCAAGTCCGAGCACGCCGAGTACCTCCAGCTTAGGACAGAAACTTGGTAGCCCAGTGCTACACTTTTTTGGGCTTCTGTTTCCGTTATCAAATAACCAACCAAAAAAAGGGTGGCCTTATTATGATATGGTTACTGGGCTACTAAGGAAAGGCAAGGGCAAGGCACCTGCTCCCCCGAAGGGGCAGGGGAAAGGGCCCAAGGGCTCACCCAAGGGCGCTGGCAAGGGCCCGCCAAGCACACCCAAGGGCAAAGGCAACTGAGCAAGAATGGCTTAGGGGTTTGGGGGGTTTGGGGTTTAGGGGTTAGGGTTTAGGGTGTAGGGTGTAGGGTGTAGGGTGTAGGATGTAGGGTTTAGGGTTTAGGGTTTAGGGTTCAGGGTTTTGGGGTTTAGGGTTTAGGGTTTCGGGTTGTTCGTGGTGGCCTTGCGCTTTTCTTGATGTTACCTGTATCGTCATGCATGGGACGGAGGATTTGTATTGCGTCCTAGTGGAGCTGGCTCTCACCAGTCTGGTGAGCAGGGCTTGTAAGCGAACCAAACCACACCTGGGTTTAGGGTTTAGGGTTCAGGGTTCAGAGTTTAGGGTTTGGGGGTTTAGGGTATTTTTTCGAAGATGGAGAGTGGTCACACAACTGCGAATCATGCCAAACTTCAAGCTTCAGGCACTGACACCCCACAAAAAGCACCGACAACAATGACAATGCCCCATCACACCCTCCAACGACCTCCCATCATCTTCATGTCTGAGGTAAAGGGACCCCCCCAAAGGGTGCCCTGGCATCGCAGCGATCTGGGGGCTTGGATGACGCAGAGGAGGCAAAAGCCGCGAACCCGCGCCGCAGCTGAATCTATGGAAGAGATTTTAGGCTTCATGCGGGAGCCTTCCCTGGAATCCCCATGTAAAGACAAGAAAGCACCATGGTTACTCTGATTAATTACTATTGCTCTTACAAGAAACCATATGCGTATGCATGTTCTTGTTTCTACATCTGAAATCTTGTCCTAAACCCAAAATACGTATTCCAAGTTAACATGGCCCCTACAAAAATAAATTTGGTAATGACCTCACATCCCTCCTCCCCCTGCCTCCCCATTCATTCCAAGGGTGTCGGGCCGACTCGTTATTGGGGTTTAGGGTTTAGGGCAAAGGGTTAGGGTTTTAGGGTTTAGGGTTTGGGGCGAAGAGCTTAGAAACCCAAGCCATAACCCCCTAAACCGGGTTCAGACATCCGTAGGAAAGATGTTCGGACTGTTTCGTGCGAACCGGCCCAGGATGATTTACCGAGAGTAAAAGGTCGATCGGGTACATTTGCCCCCCTGTTCGGGGAGGTATTATAAGAACACGCCAGGTAGAACGACCCCCTACTTGTCTGGCGATTCCGGTTAGGTTAGCAAAAACGGATCATATCCGAGGACGCAGAGCAGGCCCTTATTCCCCTTTCTTTGGGGTTTAGGTTCCCTTATAGGCCCCTTTAAGAAACCAAAACGGGCGCCCGTTTATTCCTAGGCGACTCTTGGGTCTAGTATCCCAGAGCTTGGATTGAGAAGGATGCGGGGGCCAGCGAGACAGAAGAAAGGCCTCAGACTAAACATGGAACCCAGAAGCTTGTAGCACCTTCATACCCTAAGTCCTAGACCCTAGACCCTAGACCCCAAACCGCAGAAAGTACTGTCTTCACCAGCTGATGCTAGTCAGATCTATGGCCCGAACCCTTGGAGCTTTGGGCCCAAGATGTTAAATCTTGGTAGCCCAGTGGTACCCTTTAGCCTTTCTTTTGGTTCAGGGCTATTTAGGGTTCAGGGTGTAGGACTTAGGGTCTAGGGTTTAGGATATAGGGTTTAGGCTTGGTAGCAGCACAGTGCACAGTGGTACCCTTACCCTTATACAGGAACCAACCAAAAGAAGGGCACCATTACCAGAAGATGGTTTCTGGCTTCAAAAAGTACCCTCAACCCTAAGCCCTAAACCCTGAACCCTAAACCCTGAACCCTAAACTCTAAACCCTAAACCCTAAACCCTAAACCCCAAACCCGAAACCGTAATCTCTAAACCCTAAACCCGAAACCCTACAACCCTAAACCCAATTCAAAAGATACCCTGCAACTCCAGCAGCCGAGATTTCTAGGGCTTCGGGCTTATGGGGTTTAGGGGCAGGATTCCTAAACCCTGATCCCCAAACCCTAACCCTAAACCCCAAACCCTAAACCCCAAACCCCTAAACCCCAAACCCTAATCCCCAACCCCCGCCTAAACCCCAAACCCCAAACCCCTAAACATCAATCCCTAAACCCTAAACCCTAAACGACTTGCCCTGCAGGTTCGGAGCACGGCGTATCCGCTGGCGGACGATCTCTGACCAGTCGGGCACCGTCTTCAATCGCCTGGACTGCGGGGGTCGGCCTGCAGCCTGGTTCTTAGGGACTTAGGAAAAAGTTAGGGTGTAGGGTGTAAGGTTTAGGGTCGAGTTTAGGGTTTGGGGTTTCGGGCTTAGGGTTTAGAGCTTAGGGCTTGTAGACATTTGCGGCTGCATGGCTTAGGGTAAAGGGTTGAGGAGTTCAGGGCTAAAGGTTCATTGCGGCTTAGGTGTCCAGAGTTGAGTTGGATTCGAGCCTTCAAGGGTTTTTTAAGGGGTACAAGGACTTATCCCCCTATCTATACCGTATATGTATACCGAAGTAGCCCCAAGGTAGCCCGGTTTAGGGTTTAGGGCGTCGCGGGGCTTAGCGCCTGGAGCTGTACCTTACCTTAAGAGCCCAAAGGCCACCGTGCTTCAACTGTACTATTGCCCGTGTCTAGAAGGACCAGCCGACCATCAAAGAACCGGTGTGGGGTTCTTAAGGTGTTTCTTTTTTCAGTCGAACGGGCATCTTGCTGATTGATATCATCGCATTCTAGGGTTTCGACAGGAGAAGATATTAGTATTTAGACTTGTGTATCGCCAGCCCAAAGTCTCCAAAAACCCCCAGCCCTAAACCCTGATGTTTGGTGTCTCTAAACCCTTAACCCCCCTAAACCCCTCAAGCCCTAAACCCTCTCAGCCCAAAACCCTAGCCCTAAACCCAAACCCTAAACCCTAAACCCTAAACCCTAAACCCTAAACCCTAAACCCTAAACCCTAAACCCTAAACCCTAAACCCTAAACCCTAAACCCTAAACCCTAAACCCTAACCTTAAACCCTAAACCCTAAACCCTAAACCCTAAACCCTAAACCCTAAACCCTAAACCCTAAACCCTAGCCCTAAACCCTAAACCCTAAACCCTAAACCTCCTATAAGCCCCTTGAAGAGGATGCCCCCGGCCTTCACAGCGAGACGCGGAAGATGCTCCACGAGGTGCAGGGGACCTGGGAGCTGCAGACAGAGATGGTTTAGGTTTAGGGTTTAGGGCTAGGGTTTAGGGTTTAGGGTTTAGGGCCAGAGTTTCGGGTTCAGGGTTTAGGGCTAGGGTTTAGGGTAGAGGGGGTTTAGGGTCTATACGGTTCAGGGTCTAGGTTTTAGGGCTTGGTTTTGGGTTCAGGGTTGAGGGTTGAGGGTTTAGGGTTTAGGGTTTGATTCGAGGTTTGGGGTTTAGGGTTTACATGTTTTAGGGTTTGTAGGATCTAGGGCCTGTAGGGTGGTTTTAGGGTTTCGAGTGTGGGGCGTACTGGTCAGGGCGATCACGTTTTGTAAGAGCTTCGGGGCTTGTGGCTTTGGGGTGTAAGGGCTCTATTGCGCTTTATGGGGCTGCGGGGTTTGGGGGTTTAGGGTTTGGGGTTTTGCCCCCAAACCCCTACACCCTGCAACCCAAAACCCCCGGTCCCTAAAGCCAACTCACACTCACCCCTAAACCCCTAACCCTTAAGTCCCTAAACCCCTACACCCCAAAACCCTTTAACCCCTGAAGGCCCTAAACCCCTAACGACCCTAAACCCCTAAACCCCCTAAACCCCTGCACCCTAAAAGCCCAAAAGAAGCCCCTAAGACCCCTAAACCCTCAGCCCAGACCCCCCGGAAGGATCCAAAAAGTAGAACCCCCAAGTAGTACCCTATGCTACTCTCCGGTCATTCTTCAGAGCATTAAAAAAGTAATCTGCTTTTTGGATCCTCCAAGCGATCTGGGAACCCCGGAACCCCCCTAAACCCTAGCCCTAAACCCTAAACCCTAAACCCTAAACCCTAAACCCCAAACCTGCAAACCCTAAAACCCCACACCCTAAACCCTAAACCCTTACACCCCAAACACCCCAAACACCCCAAACACCCCAAACACCCCAAACACCCCCCAAGAAGCCATGGAGTCGAAGCTGTCAAAGGTGCTGGCGTCATCAGTGGTGCAGCAGACGGCCCGGCAGTCTGCCTTCATCCCAAAGAGCTCTGGCAAGTGCCTCCTCAGCATGCCGCCCGGACGTTTCAAGTTTTTAGGGTTTGGGGTTTCGCGAAGTCTCTGAGTTTCTGGACTGGAAACACGATTCCCTCCCGCAAAGCCACAACCCTTGCTCCAAAGCCTGATACAAGCGAGCCCAGTTTCGTGTTTTAGGGGCTTAGGGTTTAGGATTTGGGGTTTTTGGGCTCGGGGGGGTTAAGGGTTTAGGAGGTTTCGGTGTTGGGGTTGAGGGCTTTTGGGGGTTCAGAAGCTTTAGGATGCTTCACATCCCTACACACCCGCGCCGAATTCTCCTTCCTAGGCCTTGAACCTAGGTCCAGTACATGGAGAGCCAACCATAAAACCTACCTAACCCTAAACCCCGACCCGAGGAAGCGCGCCCAACAGCTGGCGATTGCCTTCCGCCGATCTCCCATGCCGCTGCACAAGCTTTGTCTGGCGCTCCTCATGTTGAGTTGGTACCCTTCCTTTGCACACAGATGCCTACAGCTATACTTTCTGCTGTTATGCTACGTGCAACCCTACTTGAAGGTTCATTGGGTAGTTGCAAGTGGGGGGGGGGGGAGTTGTTCTAATTACCCTTTATAAGCTTATGAATCAGTGTTGCTAAGATTTATCCTGTTGAAACACCCTTACTTCTTCTTAAGTACCCATGAACCTTCAAGTACTTCAGTTTTCTCTTTTGTTTTTGCCGTGGCTGTTGCCTCCGCCGTCGCCCTCGTTGTTGTTGAGGAGGAGGAGGAGGAGGAGGAGGTGGTGGTGGTGGTGGTTGGCAGTGAGGAATCGGCTGCCGAGAAACTGTTCTTGCCAGCACAGAAGGCAGCATTAGTTCAGGGCGTTCGTGTGTTGTCGAGGCTTCAGACGCTGGACTTTTCCATCTCGCTCACCGAAGAAGAGATCGAAGGCTTGCTGAAAGCCTGGCCCACGGACGTCGATTTCAGACAGGCCGCGAACCTCATACCTCCAAGACACCCAAAAGATCCGAACCTTGAACCCTCCGTGTCGGTTCTAGGTCAGAGCTGTTTCAGTGGTCTATTTGCTAATTCCAGCATATGTGAACCATGATAGGGGGACCCTTGTGCAGCAAAGCTCCCTACAAGCCCGGAACCCCCCACACACCCCCCTAAACCCTTTAACTTTAATCCCCAAACCCTAAACCCTAAACCCCAAACCCCAAACCCTAAACCCGAAACCCCAAACCCTAAACCCCAAACCCTAAACCCTAAACCCCAAACCCCAAACCCTAAACCCTACCCCCCCCCCCCCTGCCCCCCCCCAGAGGTCGCCAGCTACGCCGGGCCCGCGGAGGAGTTGCGGGACGTGGAGCAGTGCATTCGACAGGTGGCCGCCGTGCCCCGGAGTGAGGCTCAGGGACGCTCGGGGTTGAGAGTTTGAGGGTTTAGGGTGTAGGGCTCAGGGACGCGAGGGGTTTAGAGTTTGAGGGTTTAGGGTTTAGGGCTCAGGGACGTTAGGGACGTTTGGGGTTTAGACTTTGAGGGTTCGCGGGGGTTTAGGGTTTTAGGGTTTCAGGGTCAGAGGGTTTGAGGGTTTTAGGGTCTAGGGCTTAGGAAGAGGCTCTGACTTATACTGGTTTGGGGGCACTATAGGGCACCATGGTTCTTTGCGCTTCTGTACGGCGTGGATGTCGGGTTCAAGATTTGGGGGTTCAGGTTTTGGGTGCTGGCGCTGAAGGGATCCTTAGCATATGGAGAACCGATATACCCAGGAAGCCATATAGACCTTAAGTCTTAGGATCCTTGCTGCAGTTGAAGGCCTAAGCCTTAGAACATGTGTGATTGTGAGTAGGCTCTCTGAGGCAAAATCTCAACTTAAACCCTAAACCCTAAACCCTAAACCCTAAACCCTAAACCCTGGTTGAGCATGGGTGTTCCGGCGCCTGAGCAGGCTCGGCTGAAGCTGCTGCGGCTCTCCCGATCCCTGGTCTTTGGGCCTCATTGGGGGGGCTTAGGGTTTAGGGTTTAGGGGTTTAGGGGTTTAGGGGTTTAGGGGTTTAGGGGTTTAGGGGTTTAGGGGTTTAGGGGTTTAGGGGTTTAGGGGTTTAGGGTTTGGGGTTTAGGGTTCGGCATGACTTGTCCGATGTAGCGCAACTTCTACATTCTCAGCTCGCCCCCGGGCTCATATGAGGTTCATAAAGGCAAGTTAAACCCCAAAGCACTCAAAAAGCTCCCTAAACCCTAATCCCTAAACCCTAATCCCTAAACCCTAAACCCTAAACCCTCGTCCGCAGCGTGTGCCAAGGACTCACTCTCCAGCATCTTCGACCGCGTGGAAGTGTTACAGGCGGCCTGCGACGAGCTCATGCAGTCTGAGAAGCTGCAAATCCTGCTACAGGAGGGGGTTTAGGGCTTAGGGCTTGGGTTTTTGAGGGTGAGATGAGGTGGAGCTCTGGTGTGGGGTTTAGAGGGCTCAACTATGGACCTTGTCTAGCGACGACCCAGAAAGAGCCGATAGAATCGATCAACCATCCCCGAAGAAACCCTCGACCTGCTGACCAACCCTCAGCCCTAAACTCTAAACCCTAAACACTAAACCCTAAACCCTAAACCCTAAGTTTTAAGAGCCTTAGGCCGCCGACCCAAGAGGCCGCAAACCAGAAAGAGCCAACCCTCAAGCTAGGGATTTAGGGTTTAGGGTTTAGGTTTTAGGGATTTAGGATTTAGGGTTTAGGGTTTAGGGTTTAGGCCTCAAGCAACAGCGTGCGGGTGGGGTTGTTGGGGGGTAGGGTTAGGGGGGAAGGGGCTTAGGGTTAAGGCTTTAGGGTTAAGGGTTTAGGGTTAAGGGTTTAGGGTTTAGGCCTCAAGCAACAGCCTGCGGGAAAGGGGGGGGGGGGGGGTTGGTTGGGGGGCTAGGGTTAGGGGGGAAGGGGTTTAGGGTTTAGGGTCTGCCAGCTTCACACGGCCCCATGGTCCCTGGGGTTCTCCAACATGTCAGGCAGATCCTCAACCCTCAGCTCAAAACTCTTCAACCTTAAAGCCCGCAGCCCTAAACCCTAAACCCTAATCCCTAAATCCCTAAATCCCTGAATCCCTAAATCCCTGAATCCCTGAATCCCTGAATCCCTAAATCCCTAAAACCTTAAATCCCTAAAAACGCTAACTCCCTAAATCCCTAAACCCTAAACCCTAAACCCTAAACCCTAAACCCTAAATCCCTAAATCCCTAAATCCCTAAATCCCTAAACCCTAAATCCCTAAAAACCCTAACTCCCTAAATCCCTAAACCCTAAACCCTAATCCCTAAATCCCTAAACCCTAATCCCTAAATCCCTAAACCCCCAAATCCCTAAACCCTCAACCCCTAAACCCTAGCCCTAAACCCTAAATCCCTAAACCCTAGCCCTAAACCCTAAACCCTAAGCCCTAAATCCCTAAACCCTAGCCTTAAACCCTAAATCCCTAAACCCTAAACCCTAGCCCTAAACCCTAGCCCTAAACCCTAAACCCTAAACCCTAGCCCTAAACCCTAAACCCGAAAGCTCCAGGAGGCGCTATACATCGGGAACTACATCAACGGAGACGCAGGACGTCCATCTGCCACGACACCCTAAGGCAAAGGCCCTCCTCAAAACCTAAACGCCAGGCCTTGAGGCCCTGAAACCCCAAACCCCACACCTTGAAGGTCTGAAACTCTAAACCCCAGGCCTTGAACGAATGGCCTTGAACCACGGACGACTGGCCTTGAACCGCGAACGAATGGCCTTGAACCACGAACGATGGCCACGAACCACGAAGTCATTAAGGTTTGATTTTTGTATATGATAGAGAGGATCTACCAAGAAAAGGGTAGGCTAGGGGGGGGTTTCGCCAAAGCAGTGAGGAGCTGGCTTTGCCCTGGATGCCTTCATCCAGCTGCGCAGCTGCTGGTCGTGGTTTAGGATCTAGGGTCCAGGGTTGCGGGTTCAGGGTTCAGGGTTTAGGGTTTAGAGTTTAGAGTTTAGGGTCCGTAAGCCCGAGGCTCTGTCCCCATAATAACCCTTTATGTCATCCAATTCCCAAAGTCGCTGCTGAGAACCGGCAAGCAACTTTTGGGGGGGCTGGGGCTTTAAGGTTTAGCGCAAGGGCTTCTCTTCCGTCCTACGGTTTTGTTGCGGCTTCGCCCCTCAACCCCAACCCGCAATTTTGAAGGTTCGTGGGTTGTTTTTCGCGGGGGTTGTAAGTATCCTTCTCAGGCTATCTAAGGTTATAACTTTAGTTATGTTGCCTAATTTCAACGCTAACTCTTAGCTATCCATGATCCTTCAAGCAGCCCTTCCCCTTAGGACCCTTGAAAGTTGAAACCCTAGACCCTAAACCCAAAACCCTAAACCCAAAACCCAAAACCCTAAACCCTAAACCCTAAACCCTCTACCCTCTAAACCCTAAACCCCCTAAACCCTAAACCCTAAACCCCCTAAACCCTAAACCCCTTAAACCCCCTAAACCCCCTAAACTCCAGGCCTCAAGGGCATCGGCGGCGCCACCCCGCTTCACTGCCTCTGTGCCGGCTGCGCGGAGGAGATCGGGGCTTGTCGAAGAGGGTCTACTCCCCAGCCCCGAGACCCTAAACCCTAAACCCTAAACCCTAAACCCTAAACCCTAAACCCTAAACCCTAAACCCTAAACCCTAAACCCTAAACCCTAAACCCTAAACCCTAAACCCTAAACCCTGAACCCTAAACCCTAAACCCTAAACCTTAAACCCAAAACCCTAAACCCTAAACCCTAACCTTAAACTCTAAACCCTAAACCCTAAACCCTAAACCCTAAACCCTAAACCCTTAAGTATCCCTAAGAATTCAGGGAATGTGCTGCAAAATCTCAGAGGGTTCCTTATATGGTTCAAGGTATATTCCTTTCCGGCTCTTATGTAGAAAATCGGGGCTTGGGATCACAAGGATCTCTTGCAAACCGAAAGACCAACAAATTTAGGATTTGTGGCGTGCATGAAAGGGGTTAGGGTTTAGGGCTTACAGGGCTTAGGGTTCAGGGTTTAGGGTTTTTGTGTCAAGGGAGGTAAGTTGCAAACAACATGATAATCAGTTTTGTTGCGTTGACAGGCTGTTGTTGATGTTCGCGGCACGTACCCGTTTCTGACTTTCGCGGCATCTGTTTTTTGCGCCTTTGTCTCGCTTTTTTGCTTTTGTAGAAGCGCGGATTTTGATAAGACAAATACATGTTGTCGCTTCCGGGCTGTACGGGTTTGGTTTTGTTGCTGCTTCTTTTGTCTTCGCTGAAGCCTACAAAGTGCGCCTGTAGCCGGACTTACTCTTGACTTACAAAATGCCATAATTCTCCCACTCATGTGTGTCGCAAGTTTGGAGTTGTAAGTGACTGTTAATTGGGCAGGTTAAGTAGAATAATCAGTTCGCTATCCGCAAAACTCGTCATAGTATGTTCGGATGCAATGTTGGCAGGGCTTGAGGGATGCACTGGCCGAACGACAGCCATGGTCGCCACTAGAACACAGCCGGGCAGCGTCAGTGAAAGTTCTTGGGGTTCTGAAACCTTCAACTTAAATCCTGAGCCCAAGCGCTTACCTAAACCCTAAATCGCGGTCGTGACGCCAGTTATGAAGCACACGGCTTAGGCGGTTTTAGTCTTTGGTTTCTGGTACAAGTAGTGCGATTTTGGCTTTGTGTTGCGGGGACAAGGAACATGGCCATGGTAACAGCTGGCTGGCAAACACAGCAACTAAGCACGTCGTTGTCGAAACATATAGCCGCCCAGTATTCATTCTTCAGCGAGCAGCTTGAATTGTTAACGTCAACAGCTACCGATGGTCACTTTGAGACTAGCGTATATGACAAGATTCTGCATTCTTCTGCATTGATAACCAGGACAACGTGAAACATCCTCAAACGTGAAAAAAAGCGACGAAGGCCCCAAAGGCCCACGGAAATCGCAGGATGACCCTGCCTTCTCTGCCACGCTCCACACGGAATTGGCAAATCTGTGCCGGCCTCGGCCATGAATTTTGTTTCGTTTGAGTTCAGGGTTTGAGGGTTTAGGGTGGTTTTGAGGAGTTTTGGCACCCAGCTTTGTTCAGGGTAGAAGCGTTCATGAGTGAATTTCTGCTATTGCACCAAGCTACAAGGCCGTCATCGTGTAATCCAGACCAGGAGGGGTCATTTCACTCACGTCCCGTGTCTCCAAGAGCTCCCCATGGCTTGCCCTATTTACAAGCACTGCAATCGTCTCCCTGAACCCTGAACCCTGAACCCTAAACCCTACTAATTTCGTAAACAGTGAAACTCGGGTTGATCTGGACTAAAATTTGGAGTTCTGGGGATGCTTTGGGGCGGGTTCAGATCTGGGTGATGCCCAGGCGTGAGGCTGCTAACCTGTCGCCCGGACCCCAGAAAGGGGGAATGGGGGGCGGGGGGGGGGGGGGGGTAGGGACAATAATCCTGATCTCCGCAGCCGGGTTTAGGGTTTAGTAAAGTTTAGGGTTTGTCTTCATAGGGGCTCAGACTCGGCCCTCTTTATCTTAGGGTCTTGGGGTCTAGGGTTCCTCATAAGCCCCTTTAAACCAAAAAGGGTACCAGTTTCATTCCAAGGTTACTCTTGGGTCTGGCCAACCTTATCCTTTGATGACACCTGACTCCTCAAACCCAAAGCCTAAACCCCTTAAACCCTTAAACCCTATAAGTACCGATTTCCTGGTTGTCAAGCCTGGTAATCTGTAGCCCCAGCAAGCCGCAACCTGTAAACCCTAAACCCTAAACCCTAAACCCTAAACCCTAAACCCTAAACCCTAAACCCTAAACCCTAAACCCTAAACCCTAAACCCTAAACCCTAAACCCTAAACCCTAAACCCTAAACCCTAAACCGTTTAGGGTTTGGTGCTAAAGCTCCCAAAGGCCCCCCTAAGCAACCCTCCTGCCAGGTGCTCAGATTCGCGACTCAGGGTGAAGCGTGTTTAAAGGGGTTAACTGGTTTAGGGTTACTTTATGCATTGGGGTTACCACCCTTCACCCCAAACCCCAAACCCTCAACCCTGAACGGAGTAAGCACGGAGACTATGAAGAGTCGGCGGAGAATGGGTTCTACGCGGGTTCCATACGGGGTATTCTGGGGCTGTAGAGGGTCAAGGTTGTGTTTTGTCGAGTTGTATCATCGGAGTTATATAGGGTTTGTATTATCACATGAATTCCCCGCCGTCTTGGGGTGTCCGATCTGCTTGAGGATGGTTTGGTGTTCATCGGGGCCTGGGGTCCCGGTTTAGGGTTTAGGGTTTAGGGCTTGGTTTAGGGCTGGCACTTGGTGCCCTGAATGAAGTGCCTTCTGCTGTCTCCACAGCTATGTTTTACGTTGTCTACATAAAGTCCAAATAGCTGATAAGAGTAATGAGGCTAGTAGGGGTGGAGTAGAGCGTATACTATGTTGTCCCGGGAAGAAGGGCTTAAGCGTACAACCCTGAATCCTAAGCCCTAAACTCTACCCCCCCCCCCCCCCGCCCAGTTTTTGCAAGTGCCAAGATCCGCTAGAAAGCCCGATAAAGGAGCCTTAGTGGATCCCTAAACCAAGCCCAAGCCCCCAAACCCTAAACCCCTCTCCCTACCCCTACAATCATCTAATGGGAGCATTTAATCTTAGGGGGTAGGGGGGGGGGGGTTGACTAAGGGGGAGGGGATTAGGGTTTAGGGTTTGGTTTAGGGTGGCCTAAACCATTAACCCTAAATCCTAAACCCGAAACCCCTAGCCCGCAACCATGTTTTGAGGCTCGGTTCGCTGCAGGAAGCGCTGCAGCGGATTCGAGAGGATGTGCAGAGTGCTGGGCGCCCACTGGAGTGTGGGGTTTCGATCTTAGGGTACATTTCAGGGGGTGTTTTAAGGGGAGGTTTCGGGCTTTGGGTACAGGAAAGGGGAGTTTAAGAAGGTTAGGTTGTATAGTGTTGAGGAGGGTTTCGAGGTTGAGAGCTCTTGGGAATTACAGGGATTTAGGGACTTGGGGCATAAATTTTCGGTGTGAGGGCAGTACAAGGTGTTAGCACGATAGGCTTTGGGCTTCAGGGAGTCAGAGTGTTGGCCTGTAGGGCTTTAGAGTTGCGTGCAAACCGTAAACCCTTGACCCTAAAGCCTAAACCCCAAACCCTAAACCCTTAAACCTAAAACCAGTCTAAAACCCTTCGCAAGGTTTCAAGGGGCTGGCATGTCCGCATTGATGTGCCCAGGGGGAGTTGCTAAGCAGTTCCCCAAAAAGAGGGGTACCCCAAGGGTCATACATACCCCCTCCCCCAATTTAAAAGAAACAGTCAGACCAAAGTCCTTACCCCCCCTCCCAACTTGGGGAACCTCCCTCATCTTCGGACGATCAGTTTATAAGGTCTATAGCCAACCACCAGCACCCTTAGTTGATGACAGCCTGCGACTTCTCCTGTAGGTGCTGCTTGTGGGTTTAGGGGGTTTATGGTTGAGGGTCCGCAGGGTTCAGAGGTTTCAGCGGTAAAGTTTTTGGCAACATCTTGGATTGATTAAAGGAACTGTCAGGATTTCGGGATCTGGGCAACTGTATGCAACCCGCTGTGTTTTGAGCCTCTAAGCCCTAAACCTTGGAATGTTCCCCCTTTTGCTAACAGCGTTTTTTTGTGGATTATAGTATGTATCCCCGATTATAGTCCCTATTAAGGACTGTTAGTATAAAGGGGGAACACCCCAGCCTAAACCCCAAACCCTAAACCTTAAACCCTAAACCCTAAAGCCTAAAGCCTAAAGCCTAAACCCTAAACCCTAAACCCTAAACCCCAAACCCCAAACCCCAAGCCC